GGTAAGTCAGAAATTACACACAAATACTTTATTCGTAAATACAACTAAGATGTAAACGTATTTTTGTATTTTTAGATTTCAACTCTTGCAAAGACCCGCCGATAGAACTTGCCTGGCAGCGTACCTGTTTAATTAAACGTATTATTTCCTGATAATAATATCAAAACACGTAAGTACCTCTATAATTTATGATGAAAAATGATTTTGATTATGTTTTATATTATTTAAATACTTTATAACCTCAAATAATAGTAAGATCCTTGTTTATATCGCACAGCCCGTTCAAAACTGTATTGTCTTCAAAAAATGTTTACAGAACAAACAATTATTACAAAAACAATGTCCTTTTAATCTGATTTATACCTCAGAAGGATGCCAGTTAAATTTTTATTAAATCAACATTACATTATTTGGCCATTAATATGCAAAAAGGAGCATATTGCGTTAACTTAAATTTTCTTTTACTTCTCCTGACAATGTTCTCTATATTCTCTATTTTGAGTTAGTAAACTTTTGAACGGGATGTGCGATATATAAAATACATAATATATCCAAGGGTATGATCTGATAAAAGTATTTTTTGATGCATTTTTTGGTTGTTTATGCACATTGGCTTGGTTTATGTTTTATTCAGCTTATATTTATTTGGTATAACAGTTTTTTTTGCCTTTGGAATGGCATGCATTGAGGCTAGATAGTGTTTCATTAGACCATTAAAGAAATTTAAATTAGCATATATTTTTTGTGATGTTAGTGTGTTATCATGATACAGGTAGTTGTATCATAGTGCCTTATGCATGTTATTTACCTATTATATACTTATGTATTATCAGTAAATAGATGATAATATACTACTAAAATGTCTTTTTAATAGTATGTTTATCTGTCCAATTCACTAGTTATTTGCAAAATGTATTTTGAACTAATTTAAGTCATTAATTGATCATCTTTCTTTTTCAGGTTCCGGGATATTCTTTTTCATTGTTAAAAAATATATATATTTCAATATTATTGTAATATAAATCGCAGCTCTAAAAAATAAATGATATGTTTACTAATGTGTAATTTATTTACTATGAATTTTCTCTGAAAATAACAAGTCTTTAATAATAATATTGATTTGCTGTGTAAAGTTAATAGACATATTTTTTAATACATTAAATTATATTAAAGTAATAAAAAATATGTTTATTAACTTTAAACAGTAAGTCAGTGATACTTATAAAAGTATTTTTTAAAAAATTTCCCCTCTTTTAAGCCCCGCCCCTCCAATTCCCCTCAATTTAGCTAGTACTGCCAGGCGACACCAGGTAGCGTCTGTTTCCATTTTTTAACATGAAGTTAGCATTTCTTTAATGTACCTATTCTCTGCTGTCAACAGTTGTCAATTTATATTTTATTTTGCCCGTTATCCGTAGATCGTGTTTTAAATTTGTTTTTGATTTTTATACGGCTCTGTTCTTGTGTTTTTTCATATTTTTTAACTGTAGACAGTGGTTTTTAAGTGTTGCGTTACTGGCTGGTAAGAATTAAAAAGATACCCAAATGCATATGTTTCCGAAGGATCAAATAGTAAGTGTTAACACGTGTTACATAGTATAAACCAAGATAGTTTCCCTTCCATTAAGATTGTTAATTAATTGTAAAATAGGTTGCCCTAATTGTTATAGATCTAGACATATTTTATTATTATAATGTTTTGCATTGTTTTTCTTATTATATTCAGTTCAATAAAGATGGTTTCTTATAGTTTTTTTGTGTTTTTCATATATCCTTTTGTCATTTTAACTTAAATCCATTTATTCGAGTAAATTGGTTTTTTCTTGAATCGATTTACATGAATAAATGGGAAAATCCGAAAAAAATAGAAACTACTCGTTCTAATTTTATGTTTTATTTCGTTACTAGATCCACGAGATGGCGCCACCGCTCGGTCCGAACAAAATGTATTGAATTTCCTATCTATTTTATATTATATAGTATCTTATCTATGTCTCAAGATCTATTGAGAATGAAAATAGTCAATACATGTCATTATTGAAAAAAAAAAACTTGTTGAGTAACTGAAATTATAAATTTGGGAACTTTTTGTTATTTTAAATTAATCATAATTTTTCCATCCAAAAAACGATGATAAAACAGTTTCTGTTGAACTTTTGGCACAAAAACATTTCAAATTGATGATTTCAGTCTAATAACTATTTAATTTACATTTTTAATTTATGTCAATGATGACAGGTATTTATAATTTCGATTCAAAATATCCCGAGGACCATTACTTGTAACAATTTTTACCAAGAGACCTTTTTTACATAATTGTATATTTGCGCGATTGTATATTTTTTACTCAGTAGTTTTATACAGGTACAGACGAAAAATGATCACTCTTCAAACCAGTTAAAAATATGTAGGTGGCGCCCTCTATAACTAGGAGTCATATTGACATCAAAATCAAATTTGTCATATCAAAAACTACCAGAATTTTCATCCAAATATTCACGTTACCTACTTCGGAAATTATTTGGAAAAATTCGAAATAAAAAATGAAACTGCTATGCCCTGTATCTCCGAAATTAAGCATTTTAGGACATACATCTATACGAACTTTTTTACTTATTTTTATATGCAGAATATATTTCCGAATTTTCTGGAAAACAATACGGACCACTCTGTAGATATTCTTTTTACAATACTATGCATACTCAATCAATCGCTCAAAAACGAAACATTTTGATATTAAATGCACATAAATTATTTACCTAATATATTCATATTTTTCTAGAACTATGTAATATCAAAACAACGATTCTCTGCCTGTAATATTTTATCTAGATTACCAGCAATCTATCGTTCGCGCGATATTTATGATCAACCATTTATTACTGGGATGATATTTTCAAATAAATAACGGATTGAAGAATTTTGGTTTTTCGGGTTATTAGGCCGTCGTCGGTTAGAATTGCTTCCTAACGTTTCGCTAGCACGAGTGGCTAGCATCTTCAGAGGTGTGTTTGCTCCGATTGCTCACACTAGACTGATGCCTCCGCGTCGGCGTAGCGCGTATTTATGCGTCGGCGGAGGGGGCGTGGCTCCTGCTGATGCCAGTTGCAGAAAGTTTTTTCTTCCCAGAACGGCTGCTACTTCTGTGCCTGCTTGATTGGTCATCAGATATAGCTGGAGCCAGATTCTGTTAAGGTGCCGATTTTCGTGGTTCACTGTTCGAGTATTCCAGATGTTTGTGGACTTCAACAGCTTCCGACTGCTGTCCAGCCCACCGAGCGCCTGCAGTAAACGTTTGTAGCTACCCTCAGGAGGACAATGGCATCTCGGTGATCTTGCAGAGATCTTACCGCCGTCCTGTTGTCCCATTGCCTGCTTCCAGCCAATCTGGACCGGTCCTCCAGTCGAGACCCGGGAAACAAGGAAGCCCAATCGATGCCTCATTGGCCGTCGTTTAGTGCCGCTTCCTTTGTTCACATTGGCAAGAAAAGCGTTTTATTTAAATGACCGCTGACTTCTCTGTTTGCTAATCTGCAGTTTCTCTTGTGTTCCCGTAAGTCTCGTTCCTACTGAGCGTTTGGTGGTTCAATATACGCTACCGCAGAACAAGGTATACGGTAGATCCTGCAGAGGATAATGGTTCTCTTTTGTCTTTTTGTAAGCAGTCCCTTGTTTGCGGTGCACGGTTCAGCAGATGGTTGTTGACGGCAGTGATCAAAGCGTTGAGCACTTTCGACAGTTATCGGTGAGCTGGGAAACACATGGTAGGAAGCCCTGCCGAATGAGCTTTTCAAACAGTCGAGTCAGGTCTCGCTAACCATATTAGGTACCAGCGGTCGCCTTTATTCTAAACATAGGGTTCCATTGGCAAGAATCTTTTATTGCCGATTCCACTTCTGTTTGTTGTGCTGCCGTTGTCCTTAAGCACAGATACGTGCATGCCCTGATTTGACAGATCCATGTTTCCGTGCTGCCCAGCCTCGCGGTCGGCTATTACGATGTCAGGGTTCAGTTCCATGCCTTTTGCTTTTGACCAGCGCTGCAGTCCTTCACATGTAGAGTTTGTTGCCGTAGCTGTTGGGATTGTCGAGTCGCTGTTGTGGCGATCTGAAAGCACTATCGGTTTGCTTTGCGACTTTGGTAGTTCAGGTTGAGCTTCCGAGTTAATACTTGATTTCTCAGATGCCCCGGGAGAGGAGGCCTGATGAGCCCAGCAGCCGACACCAAGGCAGATTCTCGCACCCCAGCCTGGGGCTCAGTTTTTGCGAAGCAGCAGGACTCTATAGACTTATTTTCAGTGTCAGCATTTTCATCACCTGCCTTAGTCAGTATTCTTCGTTGACAAGCACATTTCCTGAGACCTGATGGTTACTTCGTAGTTCTCAATATGTTGAATATAGAACTGCTAAGGCTCCGCAAAAAGTAATCTGTCTAGGGAAGAACATCAGGCTCTAAAATCGCTGAATGCTGACAGCGACATTCTGGTCTTACCGGCAGACAAGGGGAAATGCTACGGTAGTAATGAAAGCTGAGGATTATAGGTCCAAAATCGAGGATCTACTGGAGCCCCAGACTTACAAGTTACATTGAAGAAGGATCTTACTGCCTTAATTTCGTCAGAAACACCAACAGACTCATCAAGGCCTCCTCACTCCCCGGAACATCTGAAATCAAAATTAATTAATCCCGGAAGCTCAACCACCACGCCTTTATGGACTACCAAAATTCATAAAGCTAGTGTCCCACTTACCATGAAGTGTCAAGGTGGTTCCAGTTTATATCTTTTTGGCTTTTGGACGAAATGCGTGTGAGTCCTTCACATAAGTTTGTGTTATGACTTTCGGTTGTAGGATCGTAGTCAAGTATTTGCCCTTTAAGTTGTAAATAGGCGATCCTGCAGGAGCACTCACTATCGGTCTAAGTGGGACACTAACTTTATGAATTTTTTGGTAGTCCATAAAGGCGGTGGTTAGGCTTCGAGTTAATTATTTTGATTTCAGATGTTCCGGGGTAGAGGCCTTGTGGAAGCTAGTGTCCCACTTAGACCGATAGTGAGTGCTCCAGGATCGCCTACTTACAACTTAGCTAAATACTTGACTACGATCCTACAACCGAAAGTCGGCAACACAAACTCTTATGTGAAGGACTCAACGCATTTCGTCCAAAAGCTAAAAGATATAAAACTGGAACCATCTGACATCATGGTAAGCTTCGATGTGGTATCTCTATTCACGAGAGTACCCCTAGGCGAGTCAATGGATCTAATCAAGGAATCATTCCCACCTGACATCGCGGAGCTCTTCCGAGTGTGTCTGACTGGTAGCTATTTCTTATGGAACGGCAATTACTACGAACAAACAGAAGGTGTCGCAATGGGTAGCCCAATCAGCCCAATAATTGCTAATTTCTTTATGGAGAGATTTGAAGAAAAAGCGCTAGAGTCATCCGTTCTGAAGCCCGCTGTATGGTTTCGTTATGTGGACGATACATTTGTGGTTTGGAAACATGGACGTGACAGCCTAGATGACTTCCTTCATCACCTTAATTCGCAGAGCCCGAGCATAAAATTTACCATGGAAACCGAAGTAAACAACCAACTGGCCTTCCTCGATGTGCTTGTCAAGAGAAATGGCGACCTTTTGGATCACACCGTGTATCGAAAACCCACTCATACAGACCGGTACTTACACAAACTATCAAATCACCATCCAAGCCAAAAACAGGGGATTATCGGAACATTAGCAAATAGGGCAAGACGTATCTGTGCTAATGAACACATCCAAGAGGAACTAAGTCATTTAAATAAAGCCTTTCTTGCCAATGGCTATAATGACAGAGAAATAAAGGCGGCGCTGGCACCTAGGCAGAGGAGACCTGACGCCAATGAACAGGAAAACATCATTAATAAGGCCTTCCTTCCATATGTTTCCCAGGTCACCGATAGGATTGGTAAAGTCTCAAGAAGCATAACATCAAAACCATATACAAACCTACCCGGAAAATAAGGGACTGCTTAAGACCAGCCAAAGACAAAAGAGAACCATTATCGTCTGCAGGGATCTACCGTATACCTTGTTCCTGCGGTAGCGTATATATTGGAACTACCAAACGCTCAGTAGGAACGAGACTTACGGAACACAAGAGAAACTGCAGATTAGGGCAAACAGAGAAGTCAGCTGTAGCAGAACATGCTCCAAGAGATGGTGACTACAAAATCCAATTCGAAGACACCCAAGTCATTACCACAACATCTGGATATCATCCTCGTCTGGTCAGAGAAGCTGTTGAAATTCACAAACATCCAAATAAGGAAGGAAGAAACTTTCTACCTTAACAGAATTTGGCATCCAGCTATATCTAGGACCAAAGTAGCAGCACAGAGAAGTAGACCAGTTTCGGAAGAACTACCATCCGAACAAGCCACGCCCAATACGCCGACGCGGAGGCATCAGTCTAGTGTTAGCAGTCGGAACAACATGCCTCTGAAGATGCTAGCCACTCGTGCTAGCGAAACGTTAGGAAGCAATTCTAACCGACGACGGCCTAATAACCCGAAAAACCAAAATTCTTCAAACGATGGCCGCGAAAGCCTAAACTACTACATTAAATAACGGATTGTTCTAGACTGCGAGCCTTTAAACAAATAGATAACTGCAGTCGTTAAACGAATTACATATACGCAAATACGATGCATCAGCGATATAAGCAATACAAATTACACCTGCATAGGTTGACTGCTATTATTGAGTAGTAACATCTTTCTTTAATTTTAAACCCATGGTATCACAACCTAACACTAATTTGTGTATATTTACTCCAATGGTATCACAACATAACATAACCTAACCAGATTTTTAATTTGTTCTTCTCTTATAGATTAAACAATAAAATAATAGGCAGCTCTACGCCGAGAAATTAACTGAGTATAATAAGGAGATTAGAAGGGCAAAGCGGCCTGACTTCAGATGCTTTTGCGAAAATATCACTTCAACTACGTATGCAGCTAGGCTACACAAAGCTATGGCCAAGAGTGGGCCCATCCCCAACATGTCACTTAAGAAACCTGACGGAAGCTACACGGAAGGAGATGAAGAGAGAGCTAACCTCCTACTTCATACACACTTTCCAGGTAGCATATCTATTGATACGCATAAGTAGCTCTGACCGAACCCCACAATCCTCGCAGGGAAGACTGAGAGACGGCCAAGCTAGTAATAGCAGAACAAAAACTGAAATGGGCTATTGACACCTTTCAGCCTTATAAAACAGCAGGAATAGATGGGATTTTTCCTGCCCTTCTAAAGAAGGGTCAGGAAATAGCTACACTCCATCTATTAAACATTACAAGAAGAGCGAAAGTCATCTTCATACCCAAAATAGGCAAAACTGACTGGGCTAGCCCCAAATCAGTTAGGCCTATTAGTCTCACATCGTTCATATTAAAAACGATGGAGAAAGTAGTAGACAACCATATTAGAGTAAATCATCTACAGGTTAAACCACTGCACGATAGTCAGCATGCATATAGAGCGGGCAGATCCACAGAAACTGCTCTGTACCAGTTAACTGAGCTAATACAGGCTAGCCTGGATAGCAAAGAAACAGCACTTTGTGTCTTGTTGGACATTGCAGGGGCGTTTGACAATATACCTCACAAGGTGGTCAAACGATCTCTTGAAACAAGAGGGGTGAACAGTACGATATTTCGCTGGTTTTGGGAAATGCTTCAACACGAACAGCAGAGGCTGAGATAGGTACCAAAACTGTAGTTGTTAAAACAACGCAAGGAACTCCACAAGGTGGAGTGACCTCCCCCCTACTGTGGAGCTTGGTAGTGGATGAACTACTGGAAGAATTAACTCTAGCGGGAATACACTGCATAGGGTACGCAGATGACATAGTCATCATTGCACAGGGGAAACATGAAGGCACCCTGTGTGATATTATCCAAAGAGGATTCCGCATCGCTGAGAGATGGTGCAGGACTGTCGGGCTGAGTATTAACTCAGATAAAACCGCAGTAGTGCCATTCACCAGAAAGCGAAGTTTGAAAAACTTGAAAAGAATCCATCTAGATGGAAAGGAAATACTGCCATCACAGGAAGTGAAATATCTGGGAATAACCCTGGATAGTAAACTTCTCTGGAACAGGCATATTAAGAACATTACCAGCAAAGCCACAAAGGCTCTCATGATATGCAGAAGACTGGCGGGAAATAGGTGGGGCTGCGCCCCTAACATTTTGCGCTGGATGTATACCATGATAGTAAGACCCATGATTACTTATGGAGCAGTTGCTTGGTATACAAAACTAGAGCAACGTACAGCAAGGCAAACCCTGTGCAAAGTACAGAGACTGGCATGTATCTGCATCACAGGTGCCATGAGAACATGTCCAACAGCAGCAATGGAGGTCATTCTAGACCTAACACCACTGCACATCGTCGTCGGTAGTTATGCCAATGCGACAATGATTAGAATGGTCATTGACGGAAACAGTAATGGGAGAATTTTCAGGTCAGGGGCTTGGAACACCCTCAAAAAGAAAATTCCACTTCTCCAACTCCCAGTGGATGACATACCAAGAATTTACAATTTTGAGAAACACCTCACTGTAGTATTGAGTAATAAAAAGGATTGGAAGAAAGAAACGCTTACTCAGCATATAAAAGACCATACCATCGTGGTATACTGATGCTACCAAAACCAAAGCAGGGACAGGGATAGGAGTATTTGGGCCGAAAACTAAATACTCCGAACCAATGGGCACAGAACCCAGTATTCTTCAGGCAGAAACTTACGCTATCGAAAGATGCGTACAATTTATCTTAGATAGGAACTATCGAAAACAGGAAATTGCCATCCTATCCGATAGTCAAGCAGCACTTAACACGATCAACTCAGTAACCGTCAATTCGAAGTTGGTCAAAGAATGCCTAGAGAAGCTCAACAAATTAGGCAAAGAAAATAAAGTCAAAACTTTTTTGACTCTGGGTGCCTGCTCACCAAGGGATAGAAGGCAATGAAAAAGCAAATGATCTAGCTAGAAAAGGAGCGAACACTCCACTAACTGGACCAGAACCGTTCTGTTTTCCAAACGGGAACCAACTGAAAGCGGAACTGAAGAATCTGGAAGACTCCATCCGTAACTTGGAATGGGCGTCGACCAACGGTCTAAGACACTCGAAAAAGTTCCTTAGAACTTATGACCGATAAAAATCAAAGGTTTTCCTTGATTTAAGTAAAAACAATCTTCGGATTGTCACACTGTCTCCTCAACGAACACCTCAGTAGGCTGAAACAGAGAAACAACGGCAAATGCAGATTTTGTGGGGAAAATGGGGAAACACCAGAACACCTTATCACTGAGTGCGCCGAGACGACGACCATTCGTGCCATGAACCTTGGTACGTCTGATGTCGAGGATGGAGAGCTGGCCTCTGTGGAGCCGTCTCAGATACTGGCTTTTCTTAGAGCCCTGAGACTGTATGATGAGTTATAACTCGTTATAACTCAAGAAAGGGGAACACACAATAGATCTATAAGGTTGCGGTGATTAACTCCCCTCCTAAACATTCTACATTCTATAGATTAAACGCAATAATAATTGAAAATTTGAAGTTTGTGAGACTTCTAGAAGTACCTTAGAATTTTGGTAATTTTGGCAAAATTAAAGAACTTCTATCAGCGATAATTAATAAACTAGAAAGTACAATTATTAGATATATTGAAAATTTAGCCAGTTGTACTATGTCCTCTTGGTCAGTAATAATTAAGATTCTTGCTCTTTATAATTATAAAATTAATAAATTTATTTCACTATAATAATAAAACACACATTATAGAAAACTGTCAATTAGACCCTTACTTTTTCTGACCTACGTCTCATTATTTTTTATTGCCCTTCTTCATCCGAGTACAACAGGCAATAAAACATCAGCACGTTTACGCTCAAAAAGGCACCCAGGAAAACCTATAAACCATTTTTTTGACAGCGGATTCTGGTGGTATAGGGTGAGACACACGCGACACTGGTTTCATTAAGATTCGCCAAAGGGGGCGACACTTTCAATGGTTGTAATTGTCAGGCCGCGTGTGCGTATGTATTGGGCCCTCTGGGGTTGAATTTTCGTAAGTCTCGGTAAAGGCGTAAGAATTAAGCGCCATTGGTTATGCCATTAGTTTCGATGAGAAGAATATTTTTTACCTAAATAACATAAATTGGACAGAAAATGTAATAAACCCCACAATTGCGGTGGCTGCAATAACCAGGTAGTTCCATTTTAATAAATTTGTGGGAAATCGAAAAAGAGCTGCTCGGTTCTTGTTGCAAACCGAGAGCAAGGCAGCTCCAACTAACGTCGCCATTTATGTACTGTTATATTGAGAGAACGGATTGTTACAGGAAACGATCGGTCAATTTTTTTAAAAGATAGTTCATTAAAAATCTCATTTTCAAAAAAAAGTGGAGCGGCCTGGTTATTGCAACCAACCCTTCAATTGTAGAAAACTGCTGCATTTTGCGTCTAAAATGGTACTAGGCATCACGTTGTAGCTTTTATTTCTATCAATTTGTAGAAATATGCTTGATATTATACGAAAATAGCGAACAAGTGTTATAAACAATATTTTACAACAAAGTTTTTTATACAGGGTCCGGGAAAAGTACGTCGGGCATCTGTAGTAGCTCCAATAATATCAAAGTTAGGAATTTTGTTAAAGTACACACCTAAAGTATGTATTAGGATGTATTTCAGGAAAATATTTTAACTTATACAGGGTGGCTCAAAAAAGTGTGAGTGGATAGGGATAATTTTTTTAAGTGGAACACCCTGTATATTACGGCATTTTTGGCTTCCTTTTTTCCTTATATAATCCTAAGATATTGTTAAATACGTTTTGATATTTTCAAAGATAAATATACAGGGTGGCCCATCGAAAACGTTCCGCAAGGCATAACGGCCAGGGTATTTATTTTTTCAAAAAATCCAAAAACACGTCAATTTTGTTTGTGAGGGGGACAACTTTTGCCCCAAAAATGATTGCAAAATATTCAACCCTCTGAGCGGGGGTGTCATCCCCCAACTTTTTTCAAATGGAAAGGGGGGTCAAGTGGCGCCGCAATGAAAAGAGCTTTCTATTCTTTATATTTCCCCGCTTCGTTTTTGAAAATCGGTCGAGTCATTGAGAAAATATGAAGGATTGAAATTTGAAAAGTTTATTTAAGCATTTATCAGAGTAAATGATAATTAAGGATAAATTCGACCAATTTGCTGTTTTTTCTTATTGTTTCTAGATGTTTACGCATTTTTTCACTTGCCACAACGTTGAACG